TGATCTAAGTCAAAGCATGGCTTACTCTCACAGATCGATTCTTGAAACAACCTCTGGGCTGATCTAAGTCAAAACATGGCCTACTCTCAAATCAAATTAGAATTTATTGTGTTTGGTTTTGTAGATCGAGGGAGGAAAACCAGAGAACCATGACAAAATTCCTTGAACCAAGGGAGAGTCCTTACACTCTGATGTCCAGTCCAGGAATGGCAACCGAGATCCCATGCAGAGGTGAGAGACAAGTGTACTACCATTAAGGTACCCTTGATCCCCCATGCATCAATTCTGACATTCAACACTGTTCTTAGTAATGGACAGTAAGCTTTTGACCCCAATATAATATAATGTATTTTTATGAATCGATACGATACCCTTTACGAGAAAAACGTGCTCTAGATGGCCGCAGATTCTGATTATAATAAGTAGACGCTGTTATCTTGCTGTCTGCAATGCGAGTAACCATGGGACGATTACACATAGGACCTGGTTAAAAAGAGTAAACCAAACGCYTGAATGAAGAAAGTACATAAATTATAGATGCACGAAGGTGTTATACGAAAATATATTAAATGTTAAAACAAAATAAAAAATTAAATTAAATATCATGGAATGGAATGGAATAAAATAGAAAAGAAAGAAATGAAATGAGGGGCAACATATCTTGTCATGAAGAAAAAGCAAGAAGATGCTTTATAGAACTGCTTTTGGTTTTGGGACCGGAAGTCGYTTTTTCATTACGAGTGACGTCACTCAAAAGTTCCATATTGTATGTTGTTCTCAGCCAATGAAATGCGACTTGAACAGGTACAGCTTGCTATTGAAGAGCTTCCCATTCACATGCGCGAAATCGTACTTTTTTTCACTTTTTTTCCTSGTTCGACAAAACAAGTTTCTGGTGGACGTCAATCTAAATGTTTCCATGACATAAAAAGTTGTCAAGAGCACGTGCGTRCCTATGGAATGTTGTGAAACCGACTTGATTGACGTTAAGTGTGTCGCGAMARCATATTGTACGAGTTCGCGCCTGCRTTGGGAAACGCTGTAAAAGTATTATATCCAAACTAAATCAATCTAAAAAAAACTACGTGGAATTAAAAAAAGACTTACTGAGCCTGCAGCCGTACAACTCGAATCTCATAGATATGTGTCCATACCAATGGGTTGGATGGATGCGTATGTAACGGGCCTTGAAGGACTGGCGAAGGCTATGACGCACCACAAAATATCTGTCGTTATTGCCTTGGAAAATCTATAAATAGAATAGAAAATGTTAACCATCGACAAACATTAGTTTTAAGTAACCCTTATTGTAAAGTCAAAAGAGACGTCCCTTTGACTCCAAAAATCGTCTTTAACTCCTCAATAGAATTTCTAGGTCATCTCATGACGATTTGATGACATTTTGAACTGACATACAACTACTCATTTTTAAATTGATTCTTTTAAAGCGATTGCATATTACAAAAGAAAACAATGTGATAGTGTTGACGCAGTCAGGTATCTTATGTTTTTTCTCGTTTTGTTGAGCATGCGTCGATTATGATCAAGTCAATTTTCAATTTTATTCTCATTCTTTTCAAAAAATAAAACGGGGTTGACTTGCTATAAGCAAAGCCTGATTGAGGCGAGTTTCTGCAACCCTGCTCATCGGGTATSTCATCACTTTAAAATAGGAGTTATGGATGTTCAGAATGGGTAACAGGCTTCAACAGATCTCCCCTTACCCTAGGGCTACGTCCTTCTCTATAAACAGTAAGTTTTCCCGGCTGAGGTCCATAGTACAATGTATACTTGGTCACCCATTGGTTCGCATCATATCGTCCTTGAGTAGCGATACCCTTGACTCTAGTATTGGCTTCCAAGTCGATTTGAATCCACTGATTACGGTTATTGACTCTCGCAATCCAGGCTCCTCGAACACTACCGTGGTTTATCTCCTGTAGGCGACCATTCCAGGGCGCATAGTGACTGTTGTACATTGAGGTGGCGGTCACGTGGGAGCGGGTTATTCTACCATCTTGCATACCAAGGGGTAGAGAGCACTTATCTAAGAAAATACATAAAATTTTACATTAAATTAAATTTCTCCTCTAACTACGAATTCAAGGTACATGCAGTGCTTATTAATTAGCCGTTCCGTGGTTGATGGGAAAAACAGGGTCAAGCTAGTTGGCATTACAGTGCATTATGCGACTGTTTTAGGGGACAAAATAGACGCAAACAGATCTAGCAAAAAATCCACCATTTTTTTCCCTCGCGCTCAGAACGGCTAAGAGCACGCGGGAATAATTGTTAGGACGAAGCTTGTTTTGGCAGATGTCAATCAAGAAGTTTCCGTGACATCCTATAGGCACTCAYTCTTGAAAGCTTTATGTTTTCCGATAATGTCAAAGTCGACTTTGTCAAGAGTGTTTTTCTCTTGGTTCTCTGGTTTTCCTCCCTTTCCGTGAAATTTAATGTGAGTTGAGTGAGGTATGCATAGAACAATGAATGTAGTGGAAGAGTGTGTAAGTCCTCAGTTATTTCTAGAGCTTATATGACCGTATTACCTGTAGCACAACCGTAGAACTCAGCTCTCATTGAAATATGTGATCTCCAACCACGTGGGTTGATACGGACAAATCGAGCTGTTATTGGTGGATTGATGGCATTAAAGACGGTAGAAAATCTGTCCCTATTTGCTTGGAAAAGCTGTAAAATATAAGATTTTTTAAAAAATGCTAAAAAAAAAAGTCTCAAGAAACAGAGAAAGAAAAGAAAAGAGAAATAAAAGGAGTAGAGGGAAAGAGGAAGGAAGGAAGGAAAGACATATACAATAAATCTCTTGATCAGAGGCAAACACAGGCATCCCAAGCCGGTTCACTTTTAAGTATTTGATACCTTCCCAACTCACCTTATTTGAGCTCTTGTACCTATATATAGACCAATGGACACCATCTTGACTATAATACACATAGTATGACGTTACCCACTGGTGCGCATTGTATCTGGACTGGGTTGCAATTTGAGTGACTTTCTTAGGACTTCCAAAGTCTACTTGGAACCATTGGTTATGGTTATTGACTCTAGCTGACCACGATGTCCCTCCTCGCCTGGTGTTAAGTCGGCCATGATCTGGCTTCAAGCCATTGTTATAGTACGTTGAAGCTGTGATTTTACGGTTTGCTATTCTTCCGTTTTGCATTCCCAATGGTTTGTTGCACATGGTCGCTGAGGTTTGAAAAACACAATTAAAATGCGTYACCAACGGTTCACGTGAAGGTAGAGTGAGATTGGGGAGAGATTGCTCTTATAGACTGATTTTGACTTGTGACGTATTTTTGGGACGAAAATACTCTTCAAATCCGGTAAAACATACATTCAGAACTGTAATCCTTTTCCTCAACGCAATTTCCAATAGAATAGAAAAACGCAAGAAAAATCTTTGCTGAACTACTTTTCATTTTGGAAACCGGAGTTGGTTTTGTTTTTCATACGAATGACGTMACATTTCAAAGCTCAATTTTAAATTTGAAAGGGCACTTTATTTAAGAGTAGTCCGTCACAGGGGCATAGCAAGATTTCGATAATAAGGACATATTGTACAATTTTCCTGCAAAATCCACAGGAATCCAGGAAATGCATGGAAAGAGGCGGAGGGGGAGACGTGCCCCCGTCCACCCCCACCCCCCTCCTCACGCTAATGCCCCGTCAGATTTTTCTTCTTGTGCTAAAAATACCTGTAGAACAGCCATAAACCTCGACTCGCATACAGATCCTGCCATGCCAATTTGAGGGTTGGAAGCGAATGTAGGTCGCCATGAAAGGTGTCTCGATGTCATGGTAGACAATACTACGATAGTCAGTATTGGCTTGGAAGAACTGGAATTGAAAAAGACGCAAATTGTAATCCATATGAAATTCAAGTGACATTGCCAACCGCATTGTATGCTAGAAGATCTACTCAATGATTTAGATTCATATAAGTTAGAGAATATATGGAAAATGTAAAYGGTTAAAATAACCAAAATAAATCAACATCAACATTTTTTAATAGATGGTAACACTTGACAGTAATTTAACTGATAATGTCCTCTTTTAACGTCAATAATTAATAAAGGACGGTACCACCATTAACGTGGTCATCAAAGCCACGTGACGGTCTAACCATTTGTAGATGTATTATTTACAAATGCAGCACCTTCTCCTCAGTTATTTTAAGGCCCTGAGCGTTGGTACGGCCGTGACTCAAACCACGACCTTCCGCTCAACTGACAGACACTCTCCCCAGCTGAGCTCGGGCGGCAGTTCTCCATCCACGTAGTATTTATCACAATAGTTCTAGATACTAATAACTGTCAATTGCTTCAAAGTTTGCTCAGGCCATTGAAAGACCAAACCATTTTATTTGTGTAGCTCATTTTTAAAATCTTCGTTTCATAGATTGCTGGTCAACATAGCAGTTTCGCCTTGGTTTTCTTGGTTTGGGGCCTTTTAGCCAATTGCCACATGATAGTTAACTAAACCCCTAGTTCATGATCAGTCTTTCAGCTCTCTCTCTCTCTCTCTCTCTCTCTCCACGAGCGCATGCCTCTGCCCCTCGAACAACACGGCCACTTCTCACACACTCGTACTAAATAAACCAAGATATTGTTAGATAAATAAGTAATACTTTAACGACTGATTATGTACCTTTATTCCTTTTGCAAATCTGTAAGGTTTAAAAGTCATTCCATTGGTACTGTAGGTCAGGTAGTACTGCTTGACCCACCAACCAGCATTCGAACGACCTTGTGTTGCCACGCCCTTCACGCGTACACTTTCACCAAGTTGAACCTAGAATTTAAAAAAGACGTTAATCAGGGAGCATTTATTCATTMATTACGTACTTGGAGCCATTGGCTTCTGTTTGTATGTCTAAGGCACCATGAATAGCATGTGACGTCATACCCGCCACGTTGGATTCTGTATCAACCAACATGGCGGCCAMGACATGCCTCGCCATAAATCATCCACACCTATTCATTCCATTTACTTGGAACCATTAGYTTTTGTTCGTATGTCTAGAGCACCATGAATAACATGCGACGTCATACCCGGCATGTTGGATTCTGTATTAACTAACATGGCGGCCACACCTATTCATTCTACTTACCTGGAGCCATTGGTTTCTGTTTGCATGTCTAGAGCACCATGAATACACATGATTCAATGCTCCTCTCCATGGTTCATAGCTGCCACCTAAGCTCGTAGAAGCAGACAGCTGTCCACCATCGATTCTTTGATCTTCAAGGCCAATTGGTAGCTTGCACTTGTCTGGAGTTTTAATAAAACCGGTTTTTGTTAAGAAAATATGTCTTTCTTAGTTCGCTGGCCACTTGTATGTCACCAAAAATGGCTGGGTTTTAATCAGCTGATAGAAAATTATTTCAATCTCATTATTCGCTCCAAATAGTGTTTTTAAATCACTGACCACCACGTGCTGTCAGCCAGAACCAACGCTCTTTTAAAATAACTTGCGATTCAGTTGATCAACATTCCGCACGAGACAGGAAATGCGTCAAGTGAAACCTAGCCATATAGGGTGTCCTTTCATGAAAATGTAATTTTGCACCTTTTCTTCAAACCATTATTTATACCCCAACCCCCCCTCCATTTTCCGCCCTGCCCCTCAGCGGTAAAAATACACTGGTCTATTATGATTTACATGAGACCGAATTCAGTTTCCTGGGGGGGAAAGACTATTGTTGTGCCTCCTGTCATGGCTGCCATCACGTGATGGTGCAAAGCCTCTATTGGMCCTATGCAAGTGGTGTAGCTAGCGCGAGTCCGAAGGCTGAGGTAGGAAGCGCGGGCATTTTGGCGAGAAMATTTCTTGTCAAATTCACAGGTACTCTTCCTCTTTCCCTATCCCTCGTCAYTGTCCTTTAGTGTGATTTGTTCTATTTGTTGTATGATATTTATACCTATGTTGCAGCCATAGAACTCAGCTCGCATTGCCATGTACGATCTCCAGTAGTAAGGATGTATTCTGATGAACCGGCACCTGATTGGGAAGACCGGATGGTTGACCTTGATGGTGTTACGGTCTTTGTTACCTTGGAAATACTAATCAAATAGATAAATAAAAAAAGAAATTAATAATTATTGTAGTGGTAGTAATGAAAAAGTGATGATCGATCATGAGCAATGATGGTTGTGATTGATAAGTGTGATGATGATAATGATAACAATGGTTAAACGTGATGTTGGCAATGAATGATATTGGTCGATSATSATMATCATCATCATCATCATCATCATCATCATCATCATCATCATCATAATGATAATCATAGTGATAGTAATGATGATAAACCGGCTCTCTTTGTAGGAACAACGTTACAAATCTCTACAACCATGACATCCTTTTTTAAACCATTTTGTTGGTAGAGAATAGAGTAAAGGCAATGAACCCGTGAAATTAAAATTATTAGTCAACGTGTAATAGTCAAATAGACACAGGAGAAAACAATGGAATTAAGGTATACTAAAGTGCGTTAGTCTAATAACTATTTCAGGGGTTTAATGACTTCACTTTAACACAATATAGGAATTTAACTGATAACTTGTAGTCATCTTTTAACTTGTCTAGTCGATTCGGCACAGGAACGCCATTTTTGTCTGACCATTTTCAGGCGTAATAAATAAGATTTCACCTTCTGCTCAGACCCGAGGCTTTGGTCCAACCGGGACTCAAACCACGACATCCCGTACATCAAACTGATGCTCTTACCAAGTGAGCTAACCAGTCTGTTCTTACCTTGACTGATGATTGTTCCTTATATTGAGTCCATACGGTCCCATCCTGACTGAAGGATAGTGTGTATCGGGTGATCCACTGGTGAGCATTAGGACGTCCTTGCGTGGCAATACCTGTCACTTTAGTGGCTCGACCAAAATCAACCTGARTTTTGATTAATAATATGAATAATTTGATATGAAATAGATGGAGAAATAAGTGTTGCTTTTTTAGTATTATTATTATTATTACTATTATACATCATCATCTTAATTTTTAACTTTTTTTAATTTCTATCTTTTTCCTACATATATATATGTATATACTGTATATATATATGTGTGTGTGTCTTAACCTAGATGGAGCCTGCTACATATAATTTGAAAGAAAAAATAGATGAAGAAATAATTGTTTTGTTAGGCTCATGTCAAACGTCGAACTTCACATGAGCCGAACTTAATAACTTCAAAAAGACTGCCTTGTCATCCATTGCTTCAATTAAGTTCGGCTCATGTAAAGTTCGACGTTTTATCTGAGCCTAACAGCAATTTATTTTTTTAAAGCAATTTAAAGCAATTATTATTTTTATTACTGATATTATTATTTTATCATTATTATTTTTTCAATTGACCAAGTTCTGGTTGGCAATATTTTTTATGATGTGGGATTAAAAAAATCGTACCTGAAGAAATTGATCACGTCGGTTCAGTCTGGCGATCCAAGATAGTCGACCGTTTAAGCGTGCCTTTTGAGGTCCATATTGGGCATTATATTGCGATGACGCGGTTATTGCAGAGTTCGGGATCTTACCAACTCTCATGCCCAACTCGGAAATGCAAGATCCTATCAATGAATTTAAAGCAATAGTTAAGTTATCTCTCTCAAATACAAGATGCTACCAATGAATTTAAAGCAATAGTTAAGTTAACTCTCTCAAATACAAGATCCTATCAATGAATTTAAAGCAATAGCCTGAAGCAATAGTTAAGTTCTCTCTCGGATATAGTTATCGCATTTCCCCATTAATTAAGTATTCTCTTTTTACGATCGTTTAATATTATTGTGATCCTTGAATATTAGACAAATGATTGCAAACGCCGCTCACGACAAAAATGCTGGTATACGATGGATARCTATTAGCCCTCCGAGGTTATAGAGGRAAAAAATAGATSSAGTTKACATTGCAGTGCATTTTGGGAAGTCCTCTAATACAGCCCCACAATGYACTGCAATGCTAACTTGACCAAGTTATTATTTAGTCTACCTTGGAATCTTTATTTGACTCAATTGTACAAAGGTGGCCTCCGTTTAAGAGCAAATTATAAGCAATTATTTTACAAACGTCAACAGTAATGTAACAAATTTGCAACTTGAACACTACAAATGTGAATATTTTTRAAARCTGAAATGTGACTAGYCCTGAGTAAATGAGTCTGCGATCAAAGAACACAGCAGTATTTTGTGAGATCGTAAAGAGTATTTTATGGTACATATACTTACGTTCACATCGTATYCCGCCACGAAGGTCATCAAAGTTGATGTGTCCCCAGCCGCCAGTATAGTAATCAACAAGCCTGATAAAGCCTACTCTTCCCTTGTAGGCGCGCACTGACCATCGCTGTCTGCGCATGGWCTCAGTACATTTACCAGTCGCTCGTCGAACCACACCGCGACCATTGATCACCAGCTCGACCCTCTCGTAATTAATATTACAACCACCTCCRATGAGAAAGTCGATGTAATT